AATATATATATATATATTATTACTATATAATAGTAATAATTATAACAATGAAGCTCTTAACTATTTTACCATGTAATTATAATTACAAAATATTAAACACTTTTCTCTCAATGCAATACTAAAAGCAAAAAATAGCGACCATTTTTATTAGTATATCCGGTAAATACAAAAAGTGTAATTGAACAGTTTTATTCATTTGAAATTTTCACGTTAAAACAATATTTATTTACGTATTTATTTGTAACTGTAGATTTCAACAAATATTTATTCATAAATGTTCTATAAATAATTTGGCGAGTATTTGTATATATTCAAATAAAATGTGAATTAAAAAAGAAAGCAACTCTAATAAGCAACTCTAATAAGCAACTTTTTCTCCTAAATAATAACTCCTTAATAATAACTAATGACTTGTAGTAAATATTTGGCTTTAGTGATAGAAAATCGTTTACTATTTTCATATTAAATTTTATCATATCAGCTTTACTTTTATTTCCCTACTTAAAATTTAAATTCGAATATAGAATGATAAAGATGTTTATCCTCTCTTAACAAGGTCGTCAGAGATTATCTGTCAGTTTCTGATACAAACGCATCTATAAAATGTATTTTCTTATGTCTTGATTTATTTAAAAGCAAATGTAATTACTTAATTGCTTATACAGTTCGTAAAATATTTTGCCTTCGAACTTCACTAAAATTGTCTAAACTATGTTAAGATGAAAATGAGAATTATTATCTATGTTTTTACTAAGGAAAATATTTAATGTGGTTATGATCTACAGAGTAGGAATGAAAATGCAAATTAAAGATAATCATACTTACAAATATATTCATTTAAACTGAATAAAAAGTATTTATTTGTTTTTCATACATAAAAAATTATATTCATACTCTCGTATTCATATTTATGATTAATTCATTTATTCGAATATTGAATATTGGCTACACTAGTTTTGATAGCATCGGTAGCTAGAAAACTATTATAGACGTAGAGAATTGAAAAATTTTGATTAATGAGATTTGATATAATAGTAGAAACAAATGACGAATCCATTATTCTTTAGAGTCAATGTAACCCAAGATTTTATCGATGCAAGGAATTACAAGCATGGAATAAACAATAGTGACATATCTTCTATACATAAATAGGGTCGGGTTCTCTTACCTCTCGCACTGTCGCAGTGTCCATGAGGCGATGATCCACAGGGAGACCATGAAGACTAGCAGCACCGTGCCCGGGCAGATGGTCATCAGGGTCTTGAGGACGAACCTGGTGTTAAAGTTGATGCGATTCAAGGCCCCTATGCTCCGTGACGACGCGTCCGTGAAGAGTTTCGAGTGCAGCAGCATCACCCGGCAGATGAGGTAGAGCCTGAGGAACATCGGTAGCGAGAGAGTGACGTCGTATGGCACCCACTTGGAGCCGATGTCGCCGTTCTTGTTCGCCAGCTTAGTCGTCCACAGGAAGTAGTACTCGCCCGGGATCGGGTGGATCGCGCAAATCGCCAGCTCTACCGAGATTTGCGCGATCCGCTGCCAGGTCATTGCGATCCGCCAGTCGTCCGCGCAGTTATCGATCATGAACAACTGTCGCCCAACAAAAGAAAACGGACAGATAACAAGAGAACACTCTCACAACCGGAACGTGTCTGTCTAATGTCGTCTGAAGTTTTGTGTGCTTAAATCGGAGAAATATTTTTTCCTTAGAAATATATCCATGCAGAACAAACAGTCATGATGATATCAAAATGACTCCAAAATAATAAAAAAAAAAACGTTAGATTCTTTAGGTTTCAACGATAATAAAAAGATAAAAATTTGGGCGCTGCAATTAGTGCGCTAAATATTTAATAAAAAGATAAATTTCACATATATCGAAACTAATGTTTAGCATTTGATCATATAATAAAAGAAGATACATTTCGGTTACTTTCTTGCCATTACTAAGCGCATGTAAAAATAAATATTGTACAACAGTCATGAATGAGTTGCATCATTAAATTCTTGTGCAATCTGTCTACGAAATTTTTTTCAGCCAAACTCTACTCCATAACAAGTCAGGGAATATTTATCTCCTAACTTAGACGACTGGATAGTAATGAAAAAGTTAAGTCAAGACGCAAACGAATGTGTTCAAATATTAATATCAAAAAAATTTGGCAATCCTCTATAATGGGAAAAAGGGAAACATTGAGAAAAATTGGTAAGTATATATATATATATATATAAAACCATTTATTTTGTTGTGATATGTAACTAATAAAAACTTTTTTATTTTTTCATTTGTATTCTTCTAATTAAAAGTTGGTTAAAATAACAAAAAATTGTGTTGTAATCAAAATTTGATTAGACTACCTAAATTTTTATTAAAACAACGCAATTTTTAAATAAAAAAGTAAGAAAGTTTTTTGTTAGCTGCATATCAACAAAATAAATGGTTATACCAAAACATTTCTCTGAGTGGTATATAATATTTATTTAAAAGGAAAAAAACAATGGTCAAAGTGACTAGACACAGTTAAAAATCAAAGAACGAAACTGAGTAAACATGACGGTTACACGTCTCAGTGAAAACTTTTTACTGAGATATATAACCATGTTTACACATTTCGTTCTTTGATTTTTGACTACAATGTTTTGGACACTTCGACTGTTTTTTTTAAATATTTATTTTACGCCTTCTTTCACGATGCGAAGAATTGCCTAGTTTTTTAATATTTGAGTACATTCGTTTGCAATTTTGAGGACTCAATTTTTTTGTTACCGTCCAGTTGGTGAGATGAATATTCGATCTCTGTCTTGTTATGGAACGAAGTTTGGACGCAAGAAATTTCGTAGACGGATTGTATAACAATTTTACTAATGATTATTGTTTCTATTTTTATATGCGCTGATGATGACTAGAAAGCAACTAAAACGTACGTTTTTTTATTATATAATCAAAACATTAGTTTTAATACACGTGGAATTAAATTTTTAATTAAATATTTAACGCACTAATTACAGCATCAATTTCTAGCTCTAATTTTAATTTTTGTATTGTTTTTATTGATTTCAAAATGATTATAAAAGATCACTTTTCGATTTATTTTAATGTATCATGTTGGCATGACTTGTTTGTGCTGCTGGATTATTAAAAGTAATCTATAAATTATTATTTAATCTATAAATTATTACTTAAAACATTATTTCTGTATTCAAATATTTAAATAATCCCAAAAATTATTCGGAGGAATATTTGCTTTTGTAATAATATTTCTAATATTATTCTCGATGAATTTAAATACTTGAATATTACTTTGATAATTATTCTGAGGAATATTTAATCAAGAGACTCTTTTATAATGATTATTTTACATGTTTTTTTTTTACGTTGAAGATCTCGAGTATTTACTTTCCTTTTATTGAATATTCCAATGAGCTTTCGACAAATTTCACGATTAATATGTAATACGACTGAGAGTTAATTAAAACATATTATTAACTGTTCAGTTACTCGTCGAAGCTAAAAAATGTCTATTAAACCCGCCTATTTCGCATGATTGTTTGTCGAGCGGACAGATAAATGAATAAATTAATGCTCAACCCTTCAATATTATCATACACAATATTCAAAGCGATTTTTCGGTACGTCGACTGATATCGATTGCGCGAAATTGCCAATCGAGACAAATGAGTCTACGTATCCCAGATACGAGAGCTTGCTCTTTGAGCCTCCAGCCCGATTAATATGAATTCCAGCCGCTTTGCCCTGACTTGATTAAAACGCCGCGCCACGTATTCATTGTTTATCGCCGTTTATCCCGTGCGAGAGAACACGTCGTCGTAACCGTACACAACGCCACCGCCATTCCAGTAACAAATCATCCTTAACTCGGTAACGATCCTGTCAGATCTAAACAGATCGTGTTAAAGGACCCTACACACTACAAACACACGTATCATTCGAGGCACGTAATACGTGATTTGTATCGTGTTGTGATACGGATTTTTGATTTCATGGGTCTTCGACGCCTCGGATTTTTTTTTTCCATTTTCATATTACTCGTTTTCTTTATCCGAAAGATTTTCACGGATATAAACGCACATTTCCATGTATTATTTGTAATTTTTTACTCAACAATATAACTCTAATATAATACATATGTTATATGATACACGTGTTATGTTACAATTATAATGTGTAATAGAAACAGGTATGTATTATATGTAACTTGATGTTTACTGCGATTCATTATTTTTTATATTCATTTTTTTTTATATTCGACTCGCGCACAACATAAATAAACAGTAATATTACATTAATATTATAATTTCTCATTCAACGATATAAAATATGTTGTACAGTATAACAGTTATATTGTCGAGAATGAAATTATAAATTCATATAATTTTTTCATCATAAATAATCTAGAAAATCAGCTTCTAAAATATTATAGCACTTGAGAAACGTGAGAATGGTATGCAGATCCAATCTGACTTCATTAATTACTTATTACGCGATATCAGATTACTATTATCGGAACACTATGCGGGAGGTCATTAGGACTTGAAGTGTCATAAATCATCCCTTAAGTTTCCCCCGCTCTAACGTGTCGGTTAGAACCACACGATTTTAAATTTCGCCGCTTCGACAATAGAGTTGTTCCACTCTGAGGATCTTCAGGATATGATACATCCTCGGGATATGATACATCCATCACGAGATGTGGAGATCTTTTATATCTTAGCGATATCTCATCCACATGATATATCGTGGATACTTTGCAGCCCGTATCTCTCAGCCAGCGCTGAGGCTATGGAAGATGCGACCCGCCAACGTCGTGAATAGATTAGTATAATGCAGTGGGAGTCCATTTATCCGGTGGAATAATCCGGAAGATACGAAGATTGTCGCGCAACGTAAAAAAGTGAAAAAAAAAAAAATTTACTGTGTACCGTGAAACTGTAAAAGATGGGATGTGCGACACAAAGACGGTTGACGATAGCAAAAATGCAAACTGCCGGATGCGCGCTGCGTGTATTTGAGGGTCTAACTGTAGGGTCGGCTTGAACATCACTGATTTATGGACTACATGAATCTATAGTAATGTCATACCTTCTAAACTTCACGTTATCTGAGCGGCTGCAGAACCGTGGATACCCTATAACGAGCTTTGAAGTAAGAGGCTATATAGTATTACAGGATTTTGCGATGAGGGCAAAGATACACAGAATATTAATAGCAAATTTCGTGGAAATGAATAAACGTTAAACTTGCGATTCTTTTTTGTTTTATCAAATTTCGTCAGCACATAGAGAGAACGATTTTTTTTATTAAAATATCTAAAAATTTAACTGGATACAGATCTGAAAATAATTTTATTCATTGTTAATTTATAGTGTCAAATTTTACCTAATATTATTGCTTCTATTTAGTGTATTGTCATTTTATACTAATACAATAATTAAATTTGACGCTATATTATGGTGTCAAATTGACATTATATAGTCAATTTTTAAATTTAACCAAATATAGATTTAACAATGTTGGACTTCAAAATAATTATATGTATAGAATGCTGAAGCATCTGTTGATAATGTTGCAAAGATTTTTAATATTCTAGTAACTAGTTTGAGTGTCCCTGTATACGTACTTTAATGGTTAAATCAAATAAAATTATTTTCAAATTTGTATCTGAATTTTTAGACATTTCAGCAAAATCATTCTTTCGGTGCAGTTTATTGCGATCATTCTTTTTAAAATTTTTTTCTGTTAATTCTTTTTGTGAGAATCGACATTAGTAGAAATCGAGGACTGTTAATAGCTCATTATTCAATGCGAAATTAAATTTGACAAAATCGATGAAAAATTTATTCACGAAAAGAACGGTTTTGTTGAAATATCTAAAAGATATTAGCTAGATTTGAAAATTTTGTTGCACTCAAAATAATTATATAGGATGCTCAAAGTGATGCTGGAATATTAAAACTTTTTGCAGCTTTGCTCATCATGTTTGAGTTTCCTACATAATTAGTTTTATCTAGCAAAAAAATATTTTAAGATCTGTACTTATATACTAAAATTTTTACATACTTCAGTACAATCATTCTTTCCATGTATCTATAAAATATGCAGAAAAATACATATACATACTTATGTATGTATATATTATATATACGAATATATATGGAAAGAATTTTCTCTTAAAATTTACTCTAAAAATATAATAGTTGTGGTACAATATAATATTTCGAAGATTTTTATCATGCACTTCAGTAAAATTAATCAAACTTATTTAAAATTAATCAAACTTATTTTATATTTTATTATATTATAGTTTTATTAGTGAGTAAGAGAAATTTACAATTTTTCAAAATACAATGTTGTCCCACTACTATACATGTGAAGGAGCACGGCAGTGCCTCACGCCATATCTTATCGCTGAGACACTCTCTCCAGATTTTCAGAGTAAATTTTAAGAGAAAATTCTTTCTGCTTACACACACACACACACACACACACACACACACACACACACAAGCGCGCGCGTACATGATATTACAAAAAAATCTAGTGAAAATGAACAATCAGAAAATTCTGATCATATCAATCAAAATTCTGTTATTTCAACTAAAATTGTAACAGACTCGACTAAAAAATTATAATTAGTCCATTTTCAATTGAATTCCAAACAATGTACAGAAAAAGAGAAAGAAAACGTTATTTATTGCGCTTTGGGACAAGTCCTCTCAAGCGCAGAAACTGTCTTACAAATTAGAATTAATAACGTATAGAATTTATTTAAATCAAAAACATGAAGTAAAATAAAGTAGAAAATAAAAATAAAAATAAACATTGAAATTACAAGAGAAAGGGAGAGAAAGAGAGCGAAAAGGGAGGAGGTGGAAGACGATCAGAAATCTGTGCGAGCGACATTGATCGGAATGACGTTTCCCGAGGGAAGCCTCCCTTCGCTTCGTAGTGCCAGGTGAATCCCGGCAAATCTGCGCATGCAAATCGTTGATGAACGACAATCAACAGGTGCCGAAAGGTCAGCAGACTATTAGGCTCCAAGCCAGTCGTTGTTGCCGCAAGATTGCGTGAGCCAGCTTGATACCCGGGCTGATCATGAAGTTGTAAACTCTGTTTTATTCTCATTATTTGCAATTACAGACACCAGATAGATTCCAAGTTCTAAATTATTATAAAATAAATAAATTAGATTCTATATGATATAAACCATAAATAATTTCATCCCTGAATTTAATTGCTAATATATATCAGAACTATGTTCATAGCAGGTGATACTGTAAATGGTGAAAATAACAAACAAAATTTGAAATTGTTTCACATGTTCATGTGATCGATATATTGATTGAACAAACAACGATTCGAAGTTTTTCCTTAAAGAGAAATCGACATGTTTCAAATATTTATTATGAAATTGAGGGGTAACTCATATATAAAATAATTTTGTCTTTAAATGATTAATGCCATTTTCATCTAACAAATTACGTATGAATCTAATATATAACGGATATGTACTGAACTTTATTGAATTTGAGCTTTCCGAATGATTTTCTTTTCATGGAGAAAAAAAAACAGAAACGCGAGAGACTTGCTTCGGTCCCGAAATGTCGCCACATTGATTCTCCTCGAATTGCAGAGACACAGCAATATCGAAGCCACAATATATCGCGGCGAAATTGCCTCGCGTAACGACTACGAGCCTGACGAAAGCGTTTTTCCGGCACATTGAGCCAAAATTATCTATTTTGAGATACGCGAGGAATGTTGGCTATCGTCTTTCTTTTTGTTCACGCTGCTTCGACATTCCTCAGAAACACACTCGTGATAGACCCTGGCTGATTTGCCGCGTTTAAAATTAATCCCTTTTCTGTTAAGTAAAATTGGCACAACAATGCAAACTTGCTAGAACATAAACCATTCACATTAAAATCTATTTTTTATTCATAAAAAATTAATAAATATTTTTTTCTCAAAAATCTAATTGATGAATATATTATACGTATCTATATAAAAGAAGAAAATATAAATGTTTCAATTTTGTATTTGTATTGCAAAATTATAAGTAATCTGCCAAAATAGAAGAAGAATTTAAATTCTGTGCGTAATTTATATCTTTATATTCTATAAATTAAATTTGTATCGATAATTTTATCGAAAGACTATCCACTGAAAGGATAGACGCGCATAAAAACAAAAAAGTTGCTGAAAATCTCTTTCTGAAACATGAAACGACTCGCGATGCATTGCCAAGATTTTTAAAATTCTATACCCTCGCTAACATGAAGTTTATGTACAGAACGCTCGTTCGGAGCTGCTCGAGAAATCGAATATCTAAGTTTTCACACACCCGCTTTCTTGCAAAATACTCGATGAATAACGGGTGTCTTATGGCGACTTGAAAGACGGTCAATATTTGAGTTGACGCTTAAACGTTTGAGCCAATCCAAGCTTTGCATGATTTTGCGAAGCTCGCTTCGGTGCTAGCCATAGATATCTCATTAAAACAAGTTCCAACTTGGTCGGAAGTGAACCAAGAGCTTAGCAAAAAGACTTCTTTTTTGCCGGATATAATAATGAAAAGGTTTTCCTTTACCCCAAACCCATCATTATTCTCTGTCATTGTTATGTTAGATTATCTTTTAATTCGACATAACTGAGTCGAGAAGTTTTTCTCGCCTTACGTTTTCAAGATACTATATGTACATTGTTAAAAATAAAATGTTAATTTTAAATTAAAAACATATAGGATTTTCTGAGACATGCAAAAATGTTAAAATTAACATTTGTTAATTTTGTTAATTTTAACACTTTTTCATGTCCATTATACATTTTTAAGTTAAAATTAACATTTTATTTTTAACAGTGTATTCTGTGTATAATGAAAAAAAAAATATATATATATTATAAACGTATAAATATAAGTGATAATACATTCAAACAAAAACACAGTATTAAATATAACTATAAAGATGACAATAAAATG